CGCTCAAATTCACTGCACCTGCCAGCACTTTCAGACCCTGCAGCACGTGCGTGTCGTGTTCGGGGGGGTTTTTTCCCCGCCGCGTGCCTACAACTACTACTACTACTACTACTACCAGTACCACTACTACTACTACTACTGCTGCTGCTGCTGCTGCTGCTGCTACTACTGCTCGTCGCTTGGAAGGCCTACACTACAAGCGGTCTCGTTGCCAAATTCGCGCATGATTTGAGAAGTGGCGCGCAGCTGCACCATCTGGCAAGGACTATCACCGCCGCTTTTCCGTGAATCAGGGCCTGCCTGAAGTGCAGAACTCCGAGTGGTCGGTGCTTCAGCATCCTCACAAAGTGTCTTTGAAGATGCAGCACCAGCTTGTTGGGGCATTCGCAGGTTCTACCAGCGAGCGCTTGAGAACGACAAGACGGAGACCCTTTTCTCAGGTGAGGAAGACTACGGGAAGCGTTGGGACCTCAGTAACTTGAATCAGCCTCTTCACACAGCCTGCCTCCTTTATTCGCGGTGCAGGTGTAGACATGCATGAGCTCTTTGTCACATACCTCAACCTGAAGAAGATCTCTACGCTTAGGCGCGGGGTGCAATTACGCCCTTCCACGCCTTGCAAGGGCTTTGGATCTGAGGATTTTCTCCGGAAGGAGGGTTTCTCCTACAAGATAGTTGTATAAGCCAACATCTAGGATCCCAGCTTTCAAGCGGTCTTGCTTCTAAACAGGCGGAACAACTTCAGAGCAGCAACGTACGCGCGGCTGAAGAAGAAGACTATCGACCTGGAGCCCGATGATCCTGAGGTGGAGAAGCCGCCAGGCTTGAATTTTGCAGCGTCCATCAAAATGCAGGGTTAATTTGGGGCTTTCGGTGTTCAGGATGCCACGTCGCTTTAGAAAAGCTTTGACAGCTGATGTAATCATCTGGGTTTGATACAGAACATGCCTCAGCTGGCAGTGGACTGTCCGAGGACAGTGGAGAAGGAGTATCATGAGCTGGACTACATAGAGTGGCTCAAGACCTTCGACCAGTTCCACGAGATCAGCAGGTATTGCAAGTACGGTTGCCTGGCCGCTTTGGGCTTGAAGACAGTCTTTCTTGACTTGTTCCACACTCGCTTGAACACAGTATAGCACGTGAATCATCTATCTAAACCTTGTTCTGCGGCACGCAGTGCAGACTAGGAAAGGTTGGTGTAGTGGTAACCGAGGTGACAAAAACTACACGGTCGAGTGCTCGGCGAGTTGTTGCATTTGGCACATGCAGAGCAATGGAAAAACAGACTTTCTGAACTTCCAAGGAATACCTCGATGGCCTCATTTCCTACCTGAGAGGGTTCCTGCTGAGGACACAGCCCTTGGCCTGATGCTCGGAATCAACAGGGATGCAGCTACTTGATGTTGCTCGTGCACGAAGTAGAACAAACTGTGGGCCCAGATCGATGTCACCAAGCTCGAACAGCAGTTCGAGAAGGAGTCGGCTTGTGACAGACGAGGGCCAAGCCCAAACTTTGAATACATAGAAATTGATAAAGCTGGATGGCGGAATCAATACCCTCCGGCAAGATCACCTGATGAAGGAGTTCGAGGAGCGATGGGGTGACAAGAGCATCCCGGGTTGGCAGGATCCGACCCACAAGGAGCGCTGGGGCATTCTGGAGCTGAGGGGGCCCCGATCCATACTGAATAGGCTTGAACAGCATGTACGGGAGTTTTGAAGAGGACAAGCTCTTCTGCATGCCCTCCAACAAGCTCTTCAACAAGGAGGTCCTCAAGACCAACCATGAGTGACCACCTCAGACCATAGGGTCATCAGAACCCAAGGAGAACTGGACTTCTCGCATGTGATGCATGACCAGGGGCGGAAAGCTCTACAAGAAGAATCTAGCTCAAATGCCTGGCTGCCAAAGTTTGGCTGTCCTTCGGAGACTCAATTTTGAGTTTCGTTTCTCGCATCTCGACTGTTTTTGCATGTGGCCGTGGGCTCTGACCATCTTGCTGCGCAGCGCATGTCTGAAGTCAGATTGGTCATCAGAGTGGTAGGGCTGCAGTTGCTAGCAGCTGCTAGCACGCATGACAAAACCAATGAACTTCACAGCCACTGCAACACTGCAAGCCGGGGACGTGTTGTGTTCTTCACTTTATCCAATGCAAACTGGTCCAGCAACTGATGCCGAAGAATAATTTAAGTGGCCTGGTGCGCTTGAAGCCAATGCGGCACCTGCTGCCTCTCCTGCTTGCAGCCTGCTGCCTGGCACCCGTGTGGGTCAATGTTGGTGACAGAGGCAAGAAGGGTGAGCCCTTGTATGATCTTGTATGTCAATCTTCACCCGACCGCACTGGCAAACATCGCTGATGCGCCGTAAGTCAGCATGTGCGCTTGCCTGCGGTACTCATAGGCCTGGCATAGGCAGCATCAGAATCAGATAATCAGGATCAGAATCAGAGTCCGTGTTGCTTGTCCTTCTTTTTGTGATCGATTCCCGCAACACACAAGATCGTTGTTGAGTTTATAGAGAGGATGCAGACATCCGGCTGTGCGAAGATCCGCAGCTGTGGACAAGGAGGCAGGAATTTGATTCTCTGTGGAATGCTGAGTAACCCATGCATGGCCTGGACAGTCAGCTGGGCTATCTCTGGTCCAATATCACACCTGCTGTTATCAAGTGCGCTGCCCGATGCCGTTGCAGGCGATATCTCGCAGTGACTTGCGCGTCATGTCTGCACCAAGTGACGCATAGGGTAAGGGCTAAGGCAGGCAGAATCTGCGTTTACATTTAAGTTCCTTAAGCCCCTATATTCCCCCAGTTTCCATTTCATTTTCCATTTTCTTTTCCAATTGATTCTCCATTAATTATAGGCGGATAATATAGTAACTTAATTTAAGTTCCTGAACATTAGGGGAGGGAAAGATGTCGAGCTTCTCAGGTAAGATTATCGTCCGCAGTGGGACCCTGGCTTTCACAGCCTCGCTGTTCGTTCCAGAGGCGCTTTTTGAAGTCAGCTCATCCTCCGTTGACCCGGCTGCTAACAAGTTTTTAGTGTTATTCTGACTGGGCCGTGCATGCTCTATGTACCACGTTATTACGACTGGGGTTGACACAGGACATACCAAGGCCGGAGAGTGCTTGAAATGCCTGATGATAACGAGTATCGCATTTTGGAGAGTAAGAAATTAAATGTCGATTGCGGCTCATTCGATGCGAGGTCCGCAAGATGGATGGCTATTTGTGGTACATTGCCCAGGCAAGACGTTTGACAGGTTTGGGTGGTAACTCATTGTTATCGTTGGCTTTGCAACAAGCATAACCACAGGTTGACAGATTCAATCCGGACAACACGCCCAACACTCCCGAAATCGATTTGCTGGCGAAAGCCGGAGAGATAGCAAAGAAGGCAGGGACGAGGAAGCATATGTCATATGTGCACAGCACCCAGAGCGAACTCTGGCTGAGAGCCAGCTCGGAATGGAAAGCTGCGGGTGGAAGGCCGGCGATGGCCTTGCTGTGGACCTTGGTGCAGGAAGCGGCAACGACCTGCGGTACCTGCAGGCACGGACAAGAGAGAGCCTTAGGAGGGTCTTGCAGAGTTGCAGAGGCTTCTGGTCTGAAACCACTTCGAGTCCTCGGTGTGGAGCCAAACCGCTTTACATGGCCTCAAGCAGAGGTCCAGGCTTGGCCCTTTGAAACATCTTGGTAGCACCAGTAGCTTAGCCATGCTTAGCCAAAGCTGCTGGTAGTGGTAATATTGGGATAATATTGGGCTATATAGGGACAATGGAAAATAAAATGGAAACTACTACAGTATAATAGGGTGTGTGCATGAGCAATGGCAAGGCGGCAGAGGTTGGCTCTGAATCGGGCAATGAGATTGACATCAAGTTTGCAGCTGACATCTCCGAGGCAGCAGCTTCAGGTGCCAAAAAAGGCACCAGCATCAAGCCCCCATCTCTCTTGCGATTCAGCAAAGTAAAGTATGCCAGTGGAACGATGACAGAAAAGAACAAAGTCCAGATACCAGTCACTGGACATCACAGGCAGAAAAGGGCAATTCAGCTTTCGGCTTCTGAAAGATGCGAAGCACAAACTGCGCAAGCCAGCAAACAGTCTTACCCAAGCTTCTGAGGCCTTGTTTCCACCCCTCTCGGCATACTGCGTACAGTCCGGAATCAAATTGCATGCGTGCCAACTATTCCAGAACAAAAACATTGCGGCCTGCCTCCGCAGGTCCCCTCAGAGAGCGCGTCGCTGCTACTGACCAAGCGTGCGGCCTGGCAGCCGTCAAGCAGGTAACAAGCATTAGGCTTTTGTTGCTTGCACGTGCAATTCCAATTGCATCCACCGCATCATCGATGTGATTTGGACTCCAGATCACCTTGATGCTGTTGTGGATACCATGCCAACTCCAGGTGCTATGTTCTGTGGATGATGAGCTGGCCACCGTGAAGGAAATTTTCCGGGTATTGAAGCCGGGTGTCACGTCTCAAAGATTCTGCATGCGCTTCTAGCAGCACACATGCAAGTTGTAGCTGGGTTTTCATCCTCTTGCATCCTTGACCAAGGCGGTGTATTCGTGTTCATAGAGCACGTTATTGCTGAGCCGGGATCAAATCTGCGCATGGTTCAGGCGCAGACGTCCTGCCATATTTTTGGCATCTTGCATACCATCTAACCATGTAGAGGGCACTTGCAAACGCGGGGCTGTCCGGCGAGGAAGTTTTCCGCCCCGTGCAGCAAGCCCTTGCCAACAACTGTGACATGTGCCGCTCCTTGCCTATTGGTTTGGTGCAATGAGCGCGGCTACATCCTCACAAGACAAGCATGATTCATCATTCCTATCATCCCTGTGGCTGACTGCATGCAACAGCGCTGCCTTGGCATTGTCGTCCCTCCCTTCCACCCTCCTCACGTCTGGTGCCAAGGTGACACAGCAGCTGTCCTGCGGTCGTTTCCCTGGTCGCGCCTGGAACTGGAGAGCTATGACGAAGCTTGGAATGGGCCCCTGAGTCCGCCTCTTTGATGCAAAAAGCAGATGTTTCGGCAAGCTATCGCAGATTGCACCATCAAAGTGTCACAGCACAGCTCTGGCTGATGGCACACGCTGAGGCACATCCGCGGCATTGCAGTGAAACCCGCCTAAAGCCAGAAACGAAGGACAAAAGAAGCCGAGCGGGTGTTTCGAGTTCAAGAAAGCGTATCCTCTTCTGCTGGGACAGCTACCTCCACATGCGGGCTTCATGACCAAAACGACCTCTGTACTTCTACACATCCACGTAGGTTCCTAGCTGTCCTCTGTGAGTCTAGGATGAGATTAGGCAAGCACGAGTGCGTCGGTGCATTGTGATCTGGGTTCTGCGGTAAATTGCAGTATCGTGGCTTTTCTACCTCCGCAAATGGTGTAATTTGCAGTATTCATAGCCTCGCAATAATTCCAAATGCTGTGCTTTACGTATTCTTAGCTTTTCAAGAGACTGTTGTAATTGCTAGTATTCGTAGCCTTTCAGGAGCCGCGAATGCTGTAATTGACGGTAGTGTAGCCTTTCAGGAACTCTGGATGCTGTAATTTTCAGGATTCGTAGCTTTTCAAGAACTACTAGCGTTGTAGCCACTGGTTTGCGTAGCAATAGTCGCAGCATTTACAGAAATTTACATCCTGTAATTTACTCCTCAACCTCCCCTCGCGCAATTTAGACCGTCCATGCTTGCCGTCAAAATCATCAAGGCATCACAATGTTTGCAGTAAGGAAGGGTTATGCAGATTGTTTTGTTTGCCATTGGGGGGGGTGGCGGGGTGAACCACCCAAATGGCACATGCTGCCAGTACTATTATTGCTGTCACTAGCACTAATGCTACTACTACTGCTACTACTACTCCTCCTCCTACTACTACTACTACTGCTACTACTGCTACTACTACCGGTATGTCCTCTGTCCATTCTCTGGACTCGCGTGGAACGTCCCCAACTTGCTTTATATGGAGCTATTGGTGTGTAGCGCCCTGACATTGTGCTTCGGAATCGAGCTCTCGCGTGGAGCATTCTCTCATTTTGAGACCAAATCAAGCTTTCGCGTGGAACATTTTTAAGCATTTTCGAGGAAGCGCACCGCTTTTTCACATTTTACGTCGGCATCGCGCCCTGGCATGGAGTTTTCTCTGATTGTGACGCTGTAAAACAAATACCACAAACAACTCCCAATTTTTTTTGGGAACCTTTGCGTTCTGTGCTGCCGCAGGTGCAGCCACTGAAGGAGTCAACATTTTTGCCTGTGTACCCCATGCATTTGACGCTCTGCGACTGATTCGCGAAATCCAGAATGCCAGGCAGAAGCTGAGCTTTGAGGAGCAGAACCAGCTCGTCACAAAAGTGGAGGAGCAGGTGCCCCTCAGCCAACCTGCGCTCTCCAGCTTCAAGAATTTTGTAATATTGCATGCTCGCCACTTGGAGGACAAAGCAGTAGCGCGCCTTGAAAGCCGAGCCGCAAAGTGGCACGACCTTATGAGCGATGCCATCAACGAGCCGAGCCCTCAGAAAGTCTCTTGTGAATCGTGCGAGACTTTTTCGAGGAGGAGAATGTCGAATCAGACCAAGCAAAGCTTGTTGTCAGGGAGGAAGGGCCAGGAAAGCGCCAGGCAGCCAAGCGTGACTCAAAACCCTTGGGCGATGGGTGGCTTTGCACGCGTGGCCAAAAAACAATCCCTTTGCCACGGTCGTGTAGCAGCTCGTGCAGCCTTTTCCTTCCAAGGACCATCCAACACCTTCAGAAGAAACAAAGCCAGACCATCGAGGAGCGGCAACCTGCAAACGTTAATGTACCACGCAAGGCGGCTTATAGGAAGCAACTTTGTTTGCCATGAGGTGTTTCGCATGGGTAGAGCTGCTAGTAGTTACAATGCATGCGCCCGCAAAGAGTGACGGGCGGGCCTTGACTTAAACAACCATGTTGGCAAGACGGTACGCCGAGGAGATGGAGCTCGAGAAGGATGACTCGGATGAGGACGAGGACATGGAAGATGACGGCGCAGATGCCCCTCGGATATAGACACATGGTATTTGGCAAACAAATGAATGGCAGCGGTGGTTTGCCTGATACTGGCTGTGCTCCGAGTTGTGTTTGATCTGCTCTGGCCTCAAAATGTTAACTCAGGTGGGCTCAAATGCTGGTGACGACGAGGTGATGGCAAGTTGTGACCGACAGCTGAGGACAACTTGTGAGCAAGCGCTGGCAGGAGCGGCCCATCTACAACCCGCTCAACTTACCATTGGGCCGGGGGCACATCATTACGTTATTGAGCTTTAGTAGCAGTCGTGCTCAATTCGGCTCCAATTTCAGGTTGGGACGGCAAGCCAATTCCATTTTGGCTGTACAAGCTCCACGGAATGGGCCTGCGCCTGAGAGAGCTACGCAGGTTTGTGGAGAGTCATTGCAAGCAGGGTTCCTTCAGATGAACTTGCACTGATTGTATGGGCGCTTTGCATCTGTTCGACATGCAGAAGATGCCAGCTAGCAGAAGCAGAAAGCCTGAGGCATTGAGTACAAGTGCGAAATCTGTCTGGAGCCTAAGCTCTCGGCAGCACGAAGCTGGTGCCAAAACACCTGTGGGTCCAAGGTGGAAACTACTCATACTGGGGCCGGAGGGCCTTTGAGAGGCACTTCCAGGACGGCTGCGTAGCACTCATGAAATGTTTCAAAGCGGGACGCGTGGATGTTGAGCTTCTATGATTGTCGGAAAGCTGTGGAGGAATGGAGACATGCCTTTGGCATGCGGTGCCTGAAGATTCCCAATACTGCGCACTTCAAGGAGATCACCAAGATTGAGGACTGGGGTATGACAGTGCAGAACTGTCTCAGAAATGCTGAGCAGCTATGGTGTTCAGTACTGACAACTAGCTCCCAGGAAGCGATCACGCTGTACGAGAAGTTGAAGCGTGATGCGGAGGAACAGACTTTCCGCCCGGACCAGGCTGGCAGCAATGACAGCATGCCCGATTCTCATCTTGTAGACTTTGAGGCCTTGGGAGATCAGCGAGATTTTTGTTAATCAAGCATTTCAGCCCTCTTCAGAAAACCAGCGCCAGCTTGGTCATGTCATCATGGCATCATTTTCACTCAATCCGCTGTTTGTAGTTGTGCGGACACGGACATGCTGACCGGGCAGGATGTCGAGTGCGAAGACATCCAGGGCAATGTGATGAGCCAACGAGCGTTTGAGGACGCAGATGCAGCCTAGGCAAACTTGACATAGCTATCGCTTTCACATGTTGTTCATAGCTCTACTGCCACCCATCTTTCCGCAAGAGGATTTGTTCGCACCACATCATGCAATCACATGACGGTACCGAAAGGACTTGCGAAGGCAAGGGCTGGTGTGAGGTACCGCCTGCATCTGAGATCCACGTCTGGGGCCGACTCTTTGACATCCCTTCTTTGCCTGTGCCCCGAGGCTAGCTGGCTGCAGAGAGTGGCGAGCTTGAGCGAGCGGATAAGGTTCCAGGTCCGACAAAAGCGGCAGTCGACCGGGGGACAGCAGCATGCGCCGCCGGAAAAAATCGGAGTGCACCTTATGACCCTATGTTAAGCCCATTTAACGATTTTACCGTCAATTCATAGTAAGTAGGCAACATTAGGCAACTAATCAGTCAGTGGTGGGTTTTACCGACCGAATCCGTTTCTTTCTGTTGAAGGTTGTGTACAACTTGATTGATGGGCGGGCGCAAATGACACGGTTTTGGGTTTGTATACGAAGTTGAAACTTCAAAGTGGACCCAGCAAGGAACATGTCACAACATTTAGCACTTTGACTGCAAGGGTTGCTGCGGATCCCCATGTCAGCCTTGCCCTCTAGTGCTTATCGGCTTGATATGGTGCAAGTTTGTACTGCGGCTTGTGGGACGCTGCTATACGCTGCTCAACTGATGGCTGATCCCGAGAAGAAAGGAAGCGTTCAAGTTTGTCACCCTAAATCTCCGGACACCCAATTGCGTATGGGTCCCGAACAGAGAAGCTCTATTATGTGGCAAGCAAATTCAATCCGTGCTTTGCATTGGTCCCATTCTTCTTCTTCAGCAGCAGCAGCGCAATCCCTGAAACGAAAAGACCACCAGCATCACGGCTACCTAGGTCACCTCTCAATGCAGGTGGCCCGCCAAAAAGCTTGGTTCTGTAGCTGGATTTCGAGTGTATTTGGGCTGCTAACACCGCCTGGTGCAGTGCATGTCGATTCGCAAAACGTCCGCAGACCAACCTGGATCTGAGTTTCGCGTGCTGGCATCATTGAAGTTCACAGCAAGTCTGAGCAGGAGCACACAACCGAACTGAAGTGAATACCGTTGGGAAGCAGCATCAAGCAAACACCGGGTTTTTGGCTGGGAGGCGGCATGCAAGGCAATCAGGACCTGGGGCCACAGAAACATGCGCAACACAGAGGTTTTCGAGATTTTTCCAGTGGATGCTTCCAAAGCCACACTCGATGCGAGCAGAACGAAACAACACACGCGAATAAGCAAAACTGAAGCACTCGCATGCTTGTGCCAGGGCGTTGACAAGTGGATCAGGAGCGCAGATTCGCAGCAGTACACTATGTACATACATAGACAGTGCTTGGCTAATGTGTGTGAACGGTCTCATGGGCGTATTGTACACAACTTTTGAGGCATCAAATCCTGAGCTAGTAACAAAATCCCGCGTTGTTGCAGATGCTGGCAACAACAAGCTCCCGACAGGAAACGCCCAGCGGAAAGAATCAGTACAGGCCAGTTACATGTTCTTGATTTTGCTCCTCTTTTTCGTATCCTGTTGTCAATGTATCACCGTCACCCAAATCTACCGAAATGTTTAAGCGCGGAGAAGTGTGGAAGATGGGGTGCTGAGGCCTGCCGTCCTTGCATTGCCCGGGACGATGGGCACTTGTGGTGCAAGTAATCCTGTGATGGTACTCTCAGCCCCGATTCGCGACCCAAAGCACAATTGCGCATCCTGCTCTTACAGCCCCCTGGGTTGCTTGCCAAACATGGGGCACCATGTGCTACTGTCTCGGCGACCCACCCAGGGTCTGCTGCGAAGCTCGCAGAAATGTGCGGTTGCTTGACCTGAATTTTGATATGCGCATTGCTAGTGTAGTGCTCGGCGCATTAAGATACTTGCTGCAACAGCCCGCAAGTTTGGAATGGACATCAGTTCGCAGTTGATGCGCCCTCGGCCCAGACTGCCTAGCCAAATAGATGCTGCGTGGCTTGTCCTTGGCCAACAGCAGGAGGTGGGCTTTTAGGATTGGACGTTTCGTTTGACACCTGTCGCGTTCGACGAGCGCGCGCAGCCCTGGCGGCATATGAATTTTCAGTTGAATTGCAGTGCTATGTTGGGTAAGACTCAACATATGAAACCAACCGACCAACAGCAAACAAAACCGCTGGTCGGGCGCTGATGGAGCCTTGGGGGCTTTGTCCGGCACGCGGTCGGTTCCGCCATGTAGCTTGCGGACTAGCAACGCGCAGGTGGCGAGGTTTCTGGGGACTTTGACGTATGCAGGACAAGCCATGTCACGGCGCCCGGCTGTCTCGAAGGCGTCGGGAAGGCAGTGATGAGCTTACGATAGCGGAGCAGCACATTGTCGGCGACGGTGGCCGTGTTCTTACGGCAGGCTTACTCCAGGAACGCAGAAGTCCAGCAGGCGGGTAAGCTTCGCAGCGCCTTTTTGGTCAAGCGGGCGCGACGGCAGAAGCAGGCAGTTGAGTCGAAGTGGCAGGCGCAAACGACGAGGCAGGATTCGGTAAGTGTGCTGCTATGATCAGGCTCTGCAAAGTTCAAGCACAGCTCTAGGCACCTGGGCAAACGGAAGGAAAACAGCCTGCTTTGGGCATGCTCGCTAGCACTGCGTAAGGTGGGGCCCCCGTGCTGGAGGGGATGGCCCGTGTTGTGTGGATGGGATCCGATTTGCAAACGTGGAGGGTAGCAAAGCAACATGCTGCATTCAAACTCGGCGGCAAATGCAGCCGTGCCAAACAGCGTCCTCACAGCGTAGGCATCGCCGACCGAAAAAGCTGTTTGATCCTGGTGGGGGCGGCGGCAAATCACGCGGCTGGACCCCCCAAACATTCTGCACGCAATTGCGCGAGGGTCTTTCTCAGAATTCAGCCGGACGTGGATGTGCTGGAAACGTTGAAGCAGGAAACCTGTACGAGGAGATTGATGTTGTCCAGGAACTCTCAAACATGTTCGCAGATAGCATCAAGCTCTGAATCAATTCTTTTTGGAGCCTTTCGGCACATGTAGAATTTTTTGGCCATAGCCGGGATCAAAGCCTCTTGGCTGACCTCGGGGACATTGGCAGGGGGTTCCCCATCTGGCTTGGGGGGCCGCAAACCTTGTGCCCCACAGCTTGTTGCAGCACTTGGTGAAGCTTCGGGGGCCAGGTGGTCGCCACCGGCATTGTGCGGTGCTGCGGCACAAGGTGGGCACGCTTGACCCCTCGGACGCGGCGCCACCCAGCCGGCTGCCAATGTGGTGAGGAGTCTTTTGGCAGTGTCTTTGATGGCAGCGCCATGGTTTGCGCAGTAAGGCCCGGGTTTGATTGGGGACTGCCAACTGCGGAGGGAAGGAATTCAGAAAAACATGAAGAAACCGCTGCGGCCTCGAGGGCGTTGGCACGACATCATTGCACGGCCTGCACACAGCATGCACGTTTCAGTCGCCTAAGATTTTGCATGGGCTAACAGGGACACAGCGACATAGCGACACCACAAGAAAAACAACGCACAAAAACCTTGCAAGACACCATTCAGGGTCATACAAATGGTGGGGGTATCCTACATCGGCCCGATTTTCCGTGCATCGCTGCATCGATTGAGCGTCTACTTGGGGAAGCCACGCCTTGGGCTAGGCTAGGCCACTGCGTAACATGTTGGCTAAAATGTTGTTTATGAGAGCGTCTACATGCAGTTTGCTATGTTTAGCGTGACATCCTGGGGTCTATCAGCCTTGCTATCCCATAGTGCATACCCGGTATGCAGTTGCAAAATCCTATCGCGAAATCAGGATCTCGCTGCTCTTGATGGAAAAAAATCCCGAGTTGGCGACATGTCTGCTCTTCAAAACACAGCGTCTTTTCGGGGATTTGCTGATGTAGGCTGGCTAACATGCATATGAAGCGCACTGCAGACATTGGTGTCTGCCACATAAGCGGCATTCTTACACCTTCTGTCCGGCTCTTCAACAAAGCGTCACCCTGGGGATTTTCATCCGGTGGTGTATAACTGCTCCAATGATGTATATTTTCCCCGATGCAGCTTCTACATGGGAAGATGCATATTCTCACCCACGACCCAGACAGGGTGGTAACCATGACCAGGTTTCTGGAACAGTAACAGGATTCCAGGAACAGGGATAAGGTCACAACCTCTGGCCACGATAGTGGCTCTAATGTGGTGTTGTTACATGGTACGGTCATGACTGACTGACCATCATTTCAGAGCTGTCTTTTTCAAAGCAGTCTTGTGATATTTTCAGATATGAGCCAGAGTCTGAACCCCTTGAAGGGGCATTACATGGGGGAGTTTCATAGGCTCATATCACAGCAGATATCGCAACAGATTCCACAACCATTCGGATTTGTAGGCTTTGACCTGGGGTTTTTTGATTTCTTGGATTGTCGTATTCCCGGAATTGCCCATTAAAAAAACAACCAACCGGTGAGGGAGTCACCGCTTTGGAGTTTTCGAGGCCCAAAAGTTTCAAAATAGAGACTACCACCCATTTTGAAGGGCCTCTTTCATTAAAAGCAGCAACCTGCGAGGGAATCACCGTTTTGGAGTTTTCGAGGCCCAAAAGCTTCAAAATGGAGACTTCCACAACCCGTGCTGGGAATTATCTCGTTAAGGGACTCTCTGTCATTGAAGTGGCAGCAACCTGCGAGGGAGTCACCTTCACATGGAGCTCCCACCACCCGTGCTGGGAATTATCTCATTGAGGGACTCTCTCATTGAAGTGGCAGCAACCTGCGAGGGAGTCACCGTTTTGGAGTTTCTGAAGCCCAAAAATTTCAAAATGGAGACTTCCACCACCCGTGCTGGGAATTATGTCGTTGAGGGACTCTCTCATGGAAACGGCAGCAACATGCGAGGGAGTCACCATTTGGAGTTTTCGAAGCCCAAAACTTCAAAATGGATACTTCCACGGACTCTCTCATTGAAACGGCAGCAACCTGCGAGGGAGTCACTGTTTTGGAGCTTTCGAGGCCCAGAAGCTTCAAAATAGAGACTCCCAGCCCCGCCCTGGGAATCACCTTATTGTGGGGACTCTTTTACAAAAAAGGCAGCAACCTGCGAGAGAGTCACGGTATTGGAGCTTTCGAGTCCCAAAAGCTTCAAAATGGAGA